TCCCTCTCTCGCTGTGTCTCTCTCTGTCAAATAAATAAATAAAATCTTTGAAAAAAAAAAAAAAAAAGAAATCCAACATATCTACTATGTGAATGATGGCCCGTAGAGGCAATGACCTTGTGCAGTGCACAACCTATACGACTGTATGTGGTGGCTCTGATTATACCATTTTTAAGTGCTTACTATGTGCTGGGTATTGGGCTCAGTGCTTTATATAATCGTTTAGTCCTCACAGCAACTTTCTGAGGTAGATACTATCGTTGAGCCCACTTTACAGATGAGGAAATTGAGGTCAAGAGAGATTGAGTTACTGACATAAAGTTCCGTAACTGGCAAATGGCAGAGCTGGGATTTGATCCAGGTCCCTGTGCTGCCAAATTCTTGGTGGAGAAATTCAAGTCTCCTCTGATAATCCCCAAGCCAGGTCTTGCCCCTCCTACAGGGAGTCCCCTTACATTGTAGAGGTCGGTGTGGCCTCCCACCATCATCCCTGCCCCTGTGAGCCCCTTTTACCGAATGACTTGGATGCCAGACCCTCGTGCCAGCCCTTCGACCAGGAGCCAGGCTCCACAAGCTGTGATCTGGTTCTTCTCCAGGCTTCTCAACAGATAGCAGAGAAAGGGGAAAGAGAAACTGGCGTGAGTGTGGGGGATGGGCTCCCCTATATGCCCTGCCCCCAGGCCAAGATGCTTACAGAACCCAACAGACAACAGTGCAGCAGGAAGGCTGAAGGCTGGGACCCAGGGAGAGCTAAGGTTGGCAGGGGCCTGACCCAGTGGCCTCTTGGCTTTCCCCAAGGATGGAGGTCCCTCTTCATGTCCTCCCCCAGTTCTGGTTTCCCAGGATGTGCCCCTCATACTCCATTCTCTTCAGCCGGCTCATCTGCGGCAGGACCTGGGCCAGCTCCGCAGCCGCCTCATCCCCGAGCAGATTCCAGGACAGCCTGCAGGGGAGGGGTCCTGAGGTCAGTGGCGGCAGAACAGTGAGGTCGAGGGGCAGAGACAAGGTGGCAGGTGGGGAGGGCTGGGGGCCAATGGCGGAGGCTGCCACGCAGGTGCAAGAAAGGCCACTTGATTGGGTGCTTGTGCGCCCTCCCTGAAGACTTTTCAGGACGGAGGTGTTCCCTTCCTCCCCCCAACTGCATTTTTGAGCTGGTCATCTCTCAAGAACCCAGACAGCTTGAGAGCTGGCTGTCCAGAGAATTCAGAGCACATGGTCTGCAGCAACAATGTCCTGATCCAAACTTCTACCTTGCTTGTGCCTCCATCATAATGTTTGCCCTATCCATGCACCCCATTTTTCTTTAAAGCAGTCCTCCCCACTGCTTTTTTTTTTACTTTAAGAAATTAATCTTAGGAAATACTTATCACTACTATCAGTGGGAAACCTGTGTTGACAACCCTAAATAGAAGGTAGTTACAAGGATAAACACAGCACAGACAACAGTATTAACTTCTAGTTGGAACCTACGTCCTTCCAAAGGTGCTGAGCCTGTGGCCTGCCCCCTGCTGGTTAAAAAGGGAGACTCGCAAAGAAAAACTGAAGCGGAAAAAATTCAAGCCCTCTCTGGCGCGGGAATATTTCAAGACCATGACAATTAGGTTGCACTGGCTAATCTCTAATTTATCTCTGGTATGAAATAATTATCTGCTCCATGGTCATATACAATATTTCTTGGCTTTTCAAGTAAAAAATAAATAAATAAGGAGAATCACCAGTATTAGATGTTAAAGATGCCTTAGCATGGATCTGAGACTTTCTCTTTGGTGTCATGTAATGAGAAAGATTAAAACCTTTAAGATGGACAAACCATAAGAGACTCTTAATCATAGGAAACAAACTGAGGTTGCTGGAGAGGAAGGGGCATGGAGGGAGGGGGTAACTGGGTGACGGACATTAAGGAGGGCATGTGATGTAACGAGCACTGGGTGTTATATAAACCTGATGAATCACAAGCCTGTACCTCCAAAACCGATAATACATTTTATGTTATTTGAATTTAAATAAAAATGTTTTTAAAAAGCCCTTTAAGATGCAAACCTAATATCCTCTTAGAATCCCCTGCATCCTGTACCCTAGGAAACAGTATTTTCTTCCATCGCGTGGTCAGGGTCGCAGGCTAGTCCTGGCAGTGTGGTTCGCCCCTGTGGCTGCCCAAGGTCAGAGCGCCTCTGATTGCCAAGAGGGAGGTGGGCATGGCCAGCAGGCAGGTGGGGGGCATGCTGGTTTCAGCCATGTTTCACTACGAGCAGGTGGTTTATAAATTGAGGCTCCATAAACCAGGTGAGGTGATCTATCCAGCCACCTCCCAAAGGGAAGGTCAGGGGCAAAGAGCTCTTAGAGACGGGCTAGTCTACCTCCCCGCCTCCCCTCTGCCACTCCACAGGTGGGGAAACAGGCAGGAGGGGCTGAATGGATTTGCCCAACATCGCTCAATGGCCAAAAGGTTCAAACTTCCTCGAAAGGAGGTTTAAGTAAGAATGACCTTCCCCATTTACAGATGGGGGGCTGGTTGGGGAGGAAGGTGACCAGTTTTAGGCTGGACAGTGTGGGCAGCCAGGCCAGGCCCCCAGACACCTGCTTTTCCCAGCTCAGGCTTCGTCCAAGCACTCACAGGATTTCCTCCAGGGCTGGGCAGAGAGCCAGGCTGGCGGCAAGGGGCTTGGCAGCGTGGTTGTCAATCTCACAGGAAACCAGGCTGGGGACAAACAAGAGGATGGGATGAAAGGGTATCTGAGTCAGGGGCATCTCCAGCCAGCCGGCTTGCTTCTGCCCCACCGTGCAGTCAGAGTAGGAGGGAGAGGAGTGGGGGGGGGGAGACTTAGGGAGGTGCCTCTTTTTGCCCCAGGCTCCCTTATACCTGAGGCCTCTGTCACTTCAAAGGCCTTCCCAGGTGTCAGAGAAGGGCTGCCCCCCTCCCCAGCCCAGCTCCCTAGGTAGTCAGCAGAGGTTACTTACTCTATCTGCTTGAGCAGGGGGAGCCCCTGATGGAAATGTGGGACCTCTCTGGCCAGACTGTTCTCTGCCAAGCTGTAGGGCAGGAAGAGACTTGTGAGAGGAGCCCCCAGACCCTCCCTGGCTGCTCCTCTGCCCGGGCTCCATGGCCCCCACTCACTTGATCTCCTCCACATATGGGCATCCATCCAGGGCCTGGCTCAGGATCAGCGCCCCCTCTTGACTCAGACCGCTAGATGGCAGGCTGGGGAAAGGGGAGTGGGGGGGTGAGGGGAGTGTGGGGGGGGGACCGGGTGTGGGGATTGGGAGCCTTCCAGACTCCAGAATCAAGGGAGTGGGCAGGGTGCAGGCAGGCAGCCCTACGACGACGTACCACGGTTTGACCTAAGGCCGGGCAGCTCAGTCAGTGGGGGCCTTGATAACCCAGCGCTCCCAGGGAACCCCACCCAGCCAGCCCAGCAGAAGCCCCCCCAGCGGAGGGACACTCACTGCAGGACTCTCAGGTGCTGGGGCAGTCTCTGGGCCAGCTCCAGGGCTGTGATATTCCCCAGGACATTGTAACCAAGCCTGGAAGACGAGAGGGATGAGGCTGAGCACCGGGCAGGCTGGCTCCAGACCCCTGCACTACCCTGGGCCCCCTGGGGACCACAAAGGCCAGGAGGGCAGTGGGGACACAAAGGGCAGAGGGCAGTGGGGACACACTCACATCAGCTCCTCCAAGTGCTTGCAAAGGGCGAGAGACTCTGCCAACCGCACTCCCCCATCTGGGCCAATGCCATTCCCTGAGAGGCTGAGGGCGGGGCAGACATTTGACCCTTGGACACCCAGGTCCCCCCACCCCACCGCCCCACCGCCCCTGCTAGGGCTCAAGAGACCACACCCCTGCCACACACCTTCTCTGCCTGATGGGGCAGAAAAGGCCAGAGAGGAGCAGGGCCTGCGCTGGCTGAAGGTCTCAAAGTTGGCAGGGCAGTTACAGGTAAGCCAGCCCCACCACTTGGACACTGAGGGTGGGGGAGGAATGTCAGCCTGAGCCAGGGTCAGTGTCACTCCCGACCGCTGTGTGGCTACTGAGGGCCCCGGTCAGTAGGACTGACCACTCACTCGATCTTCCTGAGCTCGGGCAGCCCTGGTAGGACGGCAGCTAAGTGCTGGGCTCCGATGTTTCTGATCTGGTTGTGGCTCAAGCTTGGGGAGAGAACAGTAGAACTGGAACCATCCGCCTGCCACCCAGGTCATTTTGTCCACATCCTCCTCCCAGAACAGAAGAGCAGGCTGAAATCTGGAGGGAGGCCCCCGCTCACACTGAGCGAGTCCCCTCACCCTGTGTTAGGTGAGGACTTCAAACCCTTGTCTTCTGTTTAGGATGTTCTCCCCGATGTCTGACCTGAATCCCTCTTGCTGCAGTCCACACTCTCACATCCTATCTTGGGGTCTCCTGAAGGTCTAGGCCCGGGGTCATGTAGTGGGAAGTGGGACTAAGCTGGGCAGGGCATACTCCATCAGGGAGCCCCTTGTTTTTGTCATCTGACCCTGCCAAAGTTGTCTTGGGTTGGGGAAGGGCTAGGCAACTCACCCCAGCTCCTGCAAGCTGCTGGCCGCTCTGAGAGCCTCGAAAAGCTGGTAGCAGCCGACATCACAAATACTGTTCCTGCTCAGGCTGGAGGAGCAGAGGCCTTGGTCAGGAGCAGGGGCCTAGGCCTTTGCAGGTGCTGTGCTAAGAACTCTACAGTTTGCAAAGCTTTTATACATCCAGGAACCCATATGCCAATCACTAAACTTCAGGGGCTGGGGAGGGGGACAGGCAAGGTGGGAATGACTGGACCCAGAGTCCAGATGAGAAAACTGAGCCCAGGGAAGAGCCATGACTGGCCCAGGACCGCTCATGACTCCCAGGCAAGGTGGAAATGCAAGCTCAGAACGCCCCCGTCCCCTGCCCGGGAGCCGTGGCCATAGTTTTCGGTCTGGCCAGGCTTTGCCACAGCCTCTGTGTCAGGAAGCGCCGGGCCACCCTGGCTGAAAGCTAATTTCACAGGGCTCCGCAATCCAGGCAAATCATTTCTCCACGGCATAGGTGTTCTGATCGGTGCAAATGCTGGGCTTTTCCATAAAGCCAGTTTATTGCCCTTTCTGCGCCCTGACCTTGCCCTGCCCCCTTGAATGGCGAAAACAAAACCCAACAAACCAGCGGAGTCCAACTGTCTCAGCCCTGTGTTGAGAATTTGAAGATTGTTCTGCTTTCTTTCATTTCACAAATTAAACTTTAGGGAAGTGCCTTTCTAAAAATTAATTTTGGATGAAATGACCTAGTCCCATCTGATATGCTTCCCAGAACTCTCTGACCTCTTCTGTCGCGGACTCTACTCGGCCAGTATGGGGGTGGGGACTTGGGGAGACACAAAGCGATGCTTTGTGTTGTCTCTTGGGTTTATCTGTAGTCACTGCATTTTGTATTTCGCAAAATCCCAAGAAAAGAAAGTGTTATATCTGTTAATCACGGTGGCCAGGGGCCCACGGGGAGAATGTCAAGATCACCAGATTGGAGTCTAGACCCTCATTACTGGTTTATGGCCCCCAGGATTGGTATCACTTGGGAGCTTGTTAGAAATGCAGAATCTAGGCAACACTGGTGCGTGGAATCAGACATGCGAACAAGCACACAGAGGAATGTGTGCACATTAAGGGCTATTCCAGGACTCGGGCTCAACCCCTTCCGGTCACTTCTGTAGCTGGAGGGAGCTGGTGGCACCGGAAGGCAAGAGCGATGGGCACCGACCTGAGAGGGCAGCAACGTCCCCAGGATGGGAGCCACGGAGGGTCTTCAGGGAAATGCCCCTAGTGCTTCCCTGGGCGGGTGGTCACCACAGAGCTGGGGCATGTCCTCCCACTCATTCCCATGGGGTCCCTTGGCCACTCACCGGAGGCTCTGCAGGAGGGTCATGTGGCTTAGTCGTTGAGTGAGCATGGCCAGGGCGGAGCTGCTGAGCGGGAGATGGCTGAGGCTGGAGGAAAAGAGGCCAGAGGAGGACTCGGCGTCACCGGGGTTGGGTCCCAGGTGCAGACCGAGGCCCCATCCAGTCTTGAGGCCTCGGTGCTCAGTAATCCCCAGGGACCTCCAAGATAGCCACTTACATCCACACCGAGTAGACACAGTGTACACAACGAAACTGCACGAGACACCCAGAGGCTGTTTCTCTGCACGAGTAAGGCTACCCAGGCAGCAGGTCTGTGTTCCGAATCACACGGGACCCGGACGGCTGACCAGGCAACCTAGCGACCACAGAGTGGGCATACACTTGAGGCCGAGCACTGAGTTCGGGGCCGTCCTGAGAGACAGAACTCTCTCGTCCCCATTTTGCAGATGAGGCACACTGAGGCTCTGAGCATTATCAGAGAGCTTGTTCAAGGCCACATGGAAAGTAGAAGCATCGGGAACAGAACCCAAGGCCACAGGACTCCTGTTCCTGGACCCCTACCATGCATCACCCACGAGATCACACTCCTTCAGGCCCTCAGCCTGGGCAGGAGAGGGGAATAATAATAATAATAATAATAATAGTAGTAGTAGCAGCAGCAGCTGCCGCCACCAATACTTGCAGAGTGTGAATTCCGTGTCAGGCTCTGTTCTAAGGACTTCATATGTATTATCTCATTTAATCCTTGCCACAACCCTAGAAGGTCGGTACAGCTATTATCCCCAAAGTTAAGACGGGGAGAAAAGCACAGAGAAGTTAAGTAATTTGCCCAGGCTCACACATTCAGAGGTGTCCTGGTCTGCCTAGAATTGAGGGGGGCTCCAGGATGTGGGACTCTGGGCCCCAGGGAAACTGGGACAGCCGTCACCCTACAAGTTGAACCCAGGGGGTGTGGCTCCTAACCAGGGTCCATGCCCCGGACCATTTGGCCACAGATGGACAGGTAGAAGAAGCCAGCTGGTGGCAGGGAGGAAACACTCAGAAATGACAGATCTGAAATGGGCAGAGGTATCTGGGCAGTGGGGATCCATCCCCGTTCTTCATTATGCCCACTTCAGAGTTGGGGCGGCCAAGGACGTGAGAGGTAAGGAGCCGTCCTAGTAGCCTAGGAAGCCAGAAAAGGGTCACACATCTGTCCTGTTCTCTGCAGTACCTCCAGCCCCAAGCCCTGGCCCAGGTGCCCAGGTAAACACCTGTCAAATGCATGCATGAGCCAATCAATGATCTCACTGGGCCTCCAACACTCCCTCCCACCCCCACCCCCTCCAGCAACAAAAGCTTCCAGAACGAAGGGAGGCTGAGCAGAGGTGAAGGCACATGGGAGGGAGGCCAAAGAAACAGCTTGTGAGAAAGACATGTGGGTCCTCTGGCCAAAGGTCTCTCCGATACCATCCACACCCCAGTCCCCAGGACAAGCAAAAAGGGACAAAGGAGAATTTTATCGTTAAGGGGCAAAAAGTCAGAAGGCTACTTTTAAACTGTATTCAACACATATGTTGAAAAATATCTGGAGAAAAATTCACAAACTGCTCATTCACAGCGGTTTCCCCAGGGGGTGTCACTGCCAGAGGATTTCGTGTCCTTTGTTACATATTTCTGTAATTACAGAACTTTTTATAATAACTGGGGTGTATTTTTGGTCATCAGAGAAACTTAGAGATTAACGGCAGACGATACCATGTAAAAGGTTCCATCTAGATGCTGTTATGTCTGGGCACGGGGTCGGCGGGGGGGGAACCTGTCCTTCACACTGAGACTGATTCTGCTCTTGCTGGAACTTGGTGACTTCCAAATTATAGGTGAGAGTAAAAACGTTGCCAGTTGCTAAGGAAATAACTATAAGCAAAGAGCGGTGGACAGCTGTGGGTCTTACCTGCCCGCAGTTCGTTTCCCCTCCTTCTGACAACAGCACCCTGAAACACCACCGGCCCCCCAAGCCCAGACAGTTGGGTGGGCATGTGACCCAGATCCAGCCACTCAGAAGACTGTGTGCTTAGATCCACAGTGCTTGGCTTAGGGGTGGGCATGTGACCTGAGCTAGTCCAGTGAGAATCATCTAGAGCCTTGTGTTGTAACTACAGAGAGAAAGGTGCTCCCTTTTTGCGAAGCTGGTAGAAAGGAAGCCTGCCACTGCAGGGATGACCTGCCTGAGAATGAAGTCAAGATGGGGGTGGGGATGGGGCGGAGAGAGAGAGAACAAATACAGAACCCCTGGATACAGCCATGCCTGAAGTTAGCTGCCTTGTAATTTTCTGTGACACAAGCCAGTCAATGTCTGGCTTGGGTCAGTGTGAGTGAGTATTTTATTTCCAGGGATCAAGCATTTTGATGGCCCTCAGAGCCAGGTAAGGGAGTAAAAGGGAGGGCAACTGGCTCACCTGTTACCTATCCTGTATCCATTCAGGTATGTCACAGTTGGTGTTACAAGAGATGCAGAATTTCCTAGGCCTGCTCCCAGCTCCTCCCCACCTCCCCGCCCCACCCCCCTTCACACCACCACCACTTACTCGAGCCTCTTCAGCTGGCACATCCCCTCAAGGACCCCCATCAGCACTTCGGCGTCCTCCTCACCAAACTGATTGTTGGACAAGCTGGAGGGGACCAAGTACGAGGTGAGTGTTAGACAAGCCTGCCCAGCTCCTGCAGCTGAGCAGTCTCACTAGCTCCCTGTGGGGGACAGCTGGGGCTCTGCAGATCCTGGCCCACCCTCTTTGTCCAGGCCTCTCGGGGGCACTGCTGGCTCCAAGGGCCGGGCTTTGGGGTCCCTGAGGAGCGGGCATGGCCATCTCAGCTGACCCAGCTGAGAAAGGATGTCCTGGATGAGGGCTGAGAAAGAGGAAGCCAGGGACAGGGGACACACACACACACACAGACACACACACACACACACGTGCAGTGATCCCTTTGGCCCCACAGCCCTCCCTGTACCCTGACACCCATAGCCACCCTGGCAGAGAAGGGTGATGACCCCCACTTTACATTTTACGTGAGCCAGCCCAAGCCCAGACAGGCACCGTTATTCGTCCTGGGTCACTCTGAGCTACTGATAAGTTGGGACCAAGAAGACAGTGCTCAGCCTTCCCGGGCCACACCCAAGGCTGCTGGGCTTCATCAGGGAGCCAAGCGAGAGGCTGAAGTCCCACCACCCACCTTACCAAAGGCCCAGCTGTCCTCTTCACCCCTGCCCTGGGCTGGGCCATCCCTTCCCGTACCCCTCCCCCCAACCCTGCGACTCACTCCAGCCCCTCCAGGTGGTGGCAGTGGCTCAGACCAGATGTCAGGTGGGCCAGGCCCTCGGAGCTCACATGGCTGGAGGTCAGCCTGGTGGGGGTCAAAGGGCAGCAGGTCGGGCAGGGGCTCTGGGTCTTGAGAGCTCAGAATGCTGATAGCAGAGGGCAAGGAGGAGGGCTGGGGCAGGGGGATGGCACCCTCCTTCCCTTCATAAATCTCCCCCACCATGGAATCATTAAGCTTAGATACAGCTTGGACTAGTTGAATATTTCCCTAAACCACAGTCAGGTAGCAACAATCCCCCTTGCCAGGGATTCCTGGGCATCCCTGGAAGTCTAGCTAGCTAATTGGCTTTTACCACGAGCTCTGCATCTTTACTTAAACCACCAAAATGAGTAGCAGTTATGAGAGAGGTGTTAAAGATACACTGGCACCAAAAGAACACCTTCCCCTTGATGCAATCAGCTAGATTAAAAGAGAATTAAAAGCGAGAAAAGCTCCATTTTGCAACCATCCTACTGACATTTGATTCAGGCAAGAATTATCAACGGAGGTTGAAATTAGTAGGTGATAACGTGAGGAAGGACAGGATATCTACAGCGTCTTAAAGTGTCTCCCTACAAGATATGGGTTAATTAGAAAGGGGGAAACGGTAGTTTTGCAGGGGAAGGAAGCTGGCAGACACCCCCACCTTCACGGGGTGATCACAGTTACTATCAGTCAGGGGACAAAGAGACAATGTGTGCCTCCCGAGGAGAATGTAACATCACCTCTGTGAGATTTCTGCCCCACTGCAGAACCTAAATCTAACGTGAAGAAACACTGAAGCCAAACTGAAGGACCTCTGACAAAATCACTGAGATGTAAATGTCATGACAATATCATGCAAGACAAAGAGGGGCTGAGGACCATTCCAAATTGGAGACAAAAGGCAAATGACAATTAAGTGCAGTGTGTGATCCCAGGTGGAATCCAGGACTGGAAAAAAAAAATGCAACAAACAACATGACCGGGACATTTGGCAAAATTGGAATATGAATGGTAGTTTTGATAACGATAGCGTACCAATGTTAAATTTCCTGCATCTTACACGTTTACTGGATTGTGGGAAGGAATGTTCTCGTTCTTAGGAAATTCACTGAAATAGTAAGGGGTGAAGGGGTGTGTTTATGCAACTACTTTCAAATGGCTCAGAAAAAGAGGGAGAGAGGAGAAGAACAGAAGGGAAGGGCGAGGAAGGAGGGAGGAAGGGAGAAAGAGCAAATGGGAAAAAATATTGACAAGGGGTGAATTTGGGAAAATGGTATACGGAACTGCTCCTAGGTCTATCTGTTCTTTTGCAGTTATTTCAAATAATAAAGGGGGAAAAAAAGGAAAAGAGAAAGCATTGAAGAGGAACTCATTCTTGCCATGTGGTCATGTGGATGACCACACACTCTGCCATCATAACCAGGGCTGAGAGTGGTCCCAGCCCCTGGGGTGCGGACACAGACTTCCTCTGAGCCCAGGGCTGGGGAGCGCAGGAAGTGTGGGGCAGAGCATGCATCGGTGGGCGAGTGAACATACTCGTCTGCGTACCTGAATGTCTTCAGCTCGGAGAGGGCCTCCAGGAGACTTTGCAGAAGCAGGGAGCTAGTGTTGCAGAGGTTCACCTGGGACAAGCTGAAAAGGCCCGAGCATAGTCCAGAGGATTTCAGGTTGGATGCACCTCCGGGATCATCCAGCACACAGAGATGGGGAGCCCAAGAGAGGGGAAAGAACCGCCCAAGAGCTCCCAGTGGGGGCATCTATGCCACCCTGGGGCTCTCCCCCCACTGGCCAAATGGGATTCTCTCCTGCTTAGGGAAGCAAGAAGGCCAGAGGAAGTAATGCTGCCCTGGGCTCTGCTCATTCCCATCCCGGACTGGCCAGCCTCTTCCATGTGGTCTGGTGTGGGCACTAGGGGATGACCAGAGAACTCAGGGCCCTAGATGGTGTTTCGGGGTTCTTTTTTTTTTTTTTAAAGATTTTATTTATTCATTTGACAGAGACACAGCGAGAGCGGGAACACAAGCAGGCGGAGTGGGAGAGGGAGAAGCAGG